AATTAGAGGCCTCGTAATTTGAGTACGGTTGGGTGCGGTGCCGTCCTGAGTGGCAGAGATTTGAGATCTCCCTGTGCAGCGGGTGTCAAAATCTTCCCTCCCCCTGGGGAGAGGATTTACCCCGTCGGAGCGCTCCCGCGGGAGCCTGCTTGCCGCCACTCACCTGCCGGCGCGGGAGGTCTGCAGCACCGGGCCCCCCGCTTCGGGCACAGGACTCTCCTTGCAGGATGGGTTGGCGAGGTGCAAATGCTGGATAAGGTTGAACTTCTGTTATAACTCCATGTATTTGGTTTTCTGGGGAGATTCTTTTTTTCTTTCCCTTGCTAGATTTCCCTGTGGGAAAGTCGTGGTCGTGGCTGGCTGCTTTAATTCCTTTCCAGAAAAAAACAAAACAAAACAAAAAAACCCACCCCCAAACCCCCACTGTTTGCAGTTCTAGTAACGTGCTTTCTTCAGATGTATCTGTTTTCCTATGACTGATTTCTCAAATCTAAAAAAAAAAAGAGAAAAAAAACTTAATGTGCTACATTTAATGCCTGATTTTATCTTCCCCACTGCTTGCCTTTTATTACAGGTGGTATCTCACAGACAGAAGTTCACCGAACCCGCCTCCTGTCATAAAAAGGTAGAAAGTTGTGACCTGACAAGTTAGCTAAGGTTATTTCTGCACCCGAAGATGGGACTGAAGTTGTATCGGAAGTAGCTTTAAACTAGTCAGCTTTGGTCAAATTAGCTGTTAGAAGTGGCAGCACACTACTCCATACGGTCAACAAAATCTGTCAGGGAATTTGGGTAGACATTCAGCTTCTGGCTTCCACTGAGGTCTGCGCTGCTATAGAGATGCTCTTACCAGTACCTGAGCTACCCGGTTTAAAACATTTGTGTCTACATCAAGTACGCCCACACTGCTGGCCTCAGTTTAGATGCAGAACTGTCTCTCAAGTTAACTAATCCTGGTTGGAGCGAGGCAGTTGGTAGTTTTTACCTAAATTAACTGGTTGCATTTAGAACTGTGTGGGAGCCTAATTTTAACACAATATGCTAACTCCTGTGAAAATGAAGGGCATCTTTGTCCTCGTGGGATTCTAGTTTGAGGCAGTCTGGTTTTTTTCCATTTCCTAGTGTATGTAAAAGTCAAGACCAGGCTAGAGCGAAAGAGGGCAGGATAAATGGCGAGATCTTAAATCTTAGTTCCGCCTCGTAGCCATTGCCAGTGCATCAGAGAAGGTAATAGCATTGTGTCTGGCAGATGAGTGCCTGCCTCTTCATGATCTATTTCCTCCCTCCCTGAAGCAGCTAGGGGATTAAGAGGTTGTGAACTGGAGTCGCTCTCTTAAATTGGACATTTAGTAGAAATGCTTCTGCCTTTATTGTTAACACAAGTTGTAGGCATGTTGTATCAGTTATCATTTAGGGGTGGAAGCTATAAAAGAATACAGATTTTCAGATAGTTTATTCCTTTTTCAGGTCCCGACAGAGAGTTTACTAGCCTACTGTAGCCGAATGTATATATTTAGCTAATGCTGGCTTGGTGTATATTTAGCTGCTCTGATAAATCCTGCCTTTCCCTATAGATCTTGGCTAGGATATACACAAGGGCAATCCTGGGAAAGCAAAGTAGACTGCACCAGCAAAACCATGGTGGTCTGCTAATAGTCGCATCTAAAGCGAGCGCTTCTGCTTCTGTAGCTGTGGTGATGAAACCTCCTCATCCATCTAACATAACTATTGCAGCAGAGGTCACACCTACTGTACTTTACACCTATTTTATCCACCATAAGCTTATTTAGCAGTTATTCAATTGCACTGATATTTATTCAGAACAGATTGTCTTCTTAGAACCGAAGTCATCTCTCAGCTTATACTAGCCAAAATTACATTAATCTACTCGTTTGGGTATGTTTTCCATGTTTTAAAGGTATTTTTAAAAGAACACCATCAGCAAAAGTAAAGAGGACTTTCAGTAAAATTCCTTTCTTAGTGTAGTCCAGCAAGAAAGATTTCTTCCGCATGAAACTTTAATTGCTCATAGATAATTGGTGCTTTCAATCTTGCTGCCTTCATCTACCCTAGTGGAAAGACTGGTGGTGTCCAAAAGATCAAATGAACTTAAGTATGATGGAGAGTAAGTTTGGAAATTATTCAAAAATTCCCACAAAGAAGCCTTACGGAATAGCAGTATGGAGATCCCTCTTCAGCACATGTGATATAACTGTATGGTGCAGGGAAAGTGATCCTCAAAGTAGGCAGGTTACAAATAATTTAGAATAAAACCAGTATTTTTGTATTTCTCTTGAAAGCTAAGAGGCAGCAAGTGTAAAAACTCCTAAGTACGGTCTTGATAGGCTTCTAATGGAAGCATATTTTTCCACCTAGCTGAAATTCTGGATTCAATTCAAATTATAATTGTATATAAAAGGGCTTCGTAGCCAACTGGCCTCCGGCTGAAAAAAGCATTGCTTATGATTGTTATTCCCACTCCAAAATAAATAGTGGCAATTTCATGACAAAGCATATATGAAAAAATGTTGCCTGTTGACTGCTCTCAGTATAAAAATACTGAATGAATTGAATTTTAAAATACTAAAAGATAATGAGAAACCAAGGAGACATTTCCTGTTGACTTCAGTGGGTTCTGTCAAGTCTGTATGTTTCCAGTTTTCCCATTCATTGTTTCTTTTCTTTTCATGTAAAAGATGTCATCCAGCTGCATGCCTTAACTGAAAATAGGTAAGCGTATGGAAGGTTATTGGCTTTACTCTGAGCTAATTACACAAATGCATACACCCCCCTACGTGCAGTGTTAATTTTTTATTATGGTGACTATAAGTATAGAAAGATGTGCTGTCTGTGTCGGACAGTGATCTGGCATGCATGCAGAAAAATGAGATCCTTTATTCTGTGTACTTTCCCTGGTTTGTTGAACCCAGTTCTGGTTTTAATCAGGTTATGTATGCATCGAGTCCTTGATTTTTAGCAATAAGGTAGTTATTTTATTGCATCGTATCTTTCATTTTTAACAGTGAAATAAGTATCCTGTTACTTTGACTGGAGGAGAACCCTGTCCTCAGCTGAGAATATACCAGTACAGCGTGTGTGTAAGTCCTTATTTAACTTTCTGTATGTGGACAACACAGAGTTCCGAATATTACTGGCCAACTGGACGGGCTATTCAAAGGCTAGAAATTACTTTATGTTTATCTGAGGAGCAGGTCATCTCCCCTTTAACGTGAATATGCAATTAATCAGTGATTTTTTCCTATGTCACTGATATTAACCAATATTAACCTCTCCACATGTTCCATACAGCTCATACACTGTGGAGCATGTTGGTAATCAAAACAGGTGTTACTAAACCATGAGGAAGTCTCACCCAAACTTATAATTTGTATTAATTATATCTCTCCATTATTATAACCTTTCTTAATTCTTAGCTAATCATGTTTAGTGTCAACCATTTTACTATTTGTCAGGCCTTCACACCTATAATTACCCAGGTATCATCTGATACACATCCTAGGAAAACACTGATTTTTTTTTTTTTTGAGACTTGCATTGTCTGCGAATATCACTGCAATACAATGACTTCTTGCTGGAAATCTTTACTGAAAAATTGTCCTGTTTGATCGATAAGTGGGGATTAGTAATCTCTACTGAAGTTGTTACACTAGCAGTTGTGTGTGTTATATAATTTATTTTTCTGTAATGTTTCTGCCTCAATTTAAAAAAAAATAAAGTGTATTTGTCACGGATGATGTACATGCCTTCTTAAAGGTCATTCTCCCAACCAACAAGTATTCTTGTTTCTTTTCTCTCATTTATTTTTATTGCTTGTGAAACGCTAGCTCCCTGTTACTCACTTTGTATTTATAGTGTATTGGTATCTTTAGGCTCTACCTAATGTAAGAAAACGTACGACCTATGCTATAAAGTGACCTTGTAAAACAGAGCTGCAGCTATTAAACGGTATGCATTTTTTTAGCTAGCTTGGTTACCAGAAGTACATGTTTTCCACTTACCACAGCTATGGCAAAGGTAGCTATCGGCCAGGTTCAACTCCCAATAATTAAATAGATTCCTCTTGTTTAAATGCAGGTTTATGAATGATCTCTTCTATGTTTGTGAGAGACACATTTACACTTTGAGCAAAATTCTGACTAATGCAAGTTACACACAAATAGGCAGAAATGGGAAGAAAAGACTTCTTGTGTTCCAGTGCTGCCGCCTTTTGTATGATCTGTATGAAGGGGTATAGAGCAAAAGGTAAAGATTCAGTATATTCGCATACCTGCATTTGACTTTTCAGTCTAGCAGTAGCTCCTACACAATGTCCGTATAAATGATTTTTGTTCTGAGCATACATGGAATGCTAAAAGCAAGCAAGAATAAGGGCGGTGTCAATATGTTTGTAATGGATATTGCTTTTATCTTATATTAATTTTCCCACTTGGTTAAATCTTCACTTAACTGAAACAAAACGTATTACTGTGATTTTTAGTGTTTCATTAGAGGAAAAAAAAATAGCATGTCTTAGCCATACCAACCCGCCAAACTCATTTTGGCTGGGAAGTTAAGCTCTAAGACTGTTAGAAAATACAGGTTCCTTAGTAGTCTATGCATATAAATTTTAAGCGTTTTGTTACAAGCTTTTTCTGCAGAATCACCACCTTATTTCTAGGTTTGAAGCCAAAAAGTTAAAAATATATGTTGAAGGGCAGTAATTCATCCGGCAGTTACTAACTTCCAAATGTCTGTCCTTGCAAAGTAGTTTTCTTTTCATGTTATATATTTATATGCTATATATACTTCAAGATTGTATTGCTTTCGGTGGCATGCAAGCCGTAAAGTCTTACATGGAGCAAACAGAAAATACTTGCTCAGAAAGGCTGGAAATTAAACTTGTTACTAATCACTATAAAGATTTCATAGCTCTTGTCCTGTCTCATCATCAGTCTATATTTAGAATGGCAGACAAATTTGTTGAATGCTAATGTTTTCTGAAGCAATTTCTGCTCACAGCAGACAAGGAATCCAACCCTTCATGTCCTTTTCTGTAAAAACAATGTGTGTGTTTCTCAGATCCTGTTCTTCATGCCTGATATAAGATTGATTGGCTCTGACATTGTTCTAAGTTTCGAGATAAATGATAGAGAGGCGTAATGTGATGCTGCTTCATGTCACTCAGAAAAATTACCACAAGGGTTAGGATTCATTTGTTACTAACTTGAAGAACTCGTAGAGGAGGTATACGTTTCAAAGCAGCCAACTTAAAAAGGGGAAAAAAAAAAGGGGGGGGGGGAACAGAATCTGCAAAATTACAGATGTGTAATCTGAATTTCAGCAACCGGGAAGGCCCTACAAGAAGAACAGCAAAGCCCTGTAGCGCTGTAGGCTGTAACAGGTAGATGACAGCATGACAGTCTGTAGGAGCCAGTACGGATCTGTTGAGAACAAAGCACGTCAGACCCGTTAAATCTGTTCTAACATCTGCTTCTTCCCCTCTACCCACAAGACCTGTTATCCTGTTGTAGATCTCCACCTAGCAAAGCTTTTAATGCTGTCTCAAAGGAAGCTCTCGCAGGGAAGCTAGGGTGACATAAATGGAACTGCTAGCGAGAGGATGCAAATTCGTACTCAGCGAGTGGTTCACATGATCTAGTTTCAAAATAAATGGATGGATGTGGTGCACCCAGGGTGCTTTGTCCTGAGCCTCTAACTACTAATTTTCAGTCTGATGCAGGGTTTTCCCACTAACTGAGCTGGCAATACCAGCCTGTAAACCTGTTGAGAGCGAGGTGTAGAATTCAGAGCGGTGGCGATGAACTGGGCTGGAGAGCAGCCCGAGTTAAAGCATGCAGAAGGCGCAGCGGGGCCAGAGCAAAGCTCTCCAGGCAGGGCCAGCCGGGCGGTGGGGCACCACCAACCGAGGGGCCAGCGAGGTGCCCTGCTGGGAACAGCGAATGCTGTGCCCCACCGTGTGAACAGAAATATGGCATTATTACGTGTTTTGTAACAGGCAAAATGGTGCTTTCGCTCCCCTGGGCGTTGGCTAGGTGTTCTCTGATTTTGAACGTGACGTTGAAAGAAAACGTGGACTAATAGGAGAGCCGGTGGGGATGGAAGAAAGGATGGCCAGAGGCCTTGACCTGTGATGGCGCGAATGCTGTGCCCCACCGTGTGAACAGAAATATGGCATTATTACGTGTTTTGTAACAGGCAAAATGGTGCTTTCGCTCCCCTGGGCGTTGGCTAGGTGTTCTCTGATTTTGAACGTGACGTTGAAAGAAAACGTGGACTAATAGGAGAGCCGGTGGGGATGGAAGAAAGGATGGCCAGAGGCCTTGACCTGTGATGGCAGAGTACAAGGATGGTGTGAATCTTGAAGAGAGAGAGCCGAGGTGGGAAGTTCGCGTGCCCTCCAGTGCGCGGGCGTGCAGCGG